GCTCCAGTCCCCTCATCATCCTTGTAGCCCTCCACTGGACTTGAGTTGCTGTGGTGTGCCTCAGACTGAGGTTGGGCTCCCAGCAGTTATTTATTGTTCTCAAGCCGGTGAACGAGAAGTACGCTAAGATTTTTAAAAAAGCTTCAGGCTTTAACTACTGCTCTGCATCACGAGAAGGTCGCAGGACCAAGCCTCTAGCAGGCTGCTCCTACCACAGCACAAGAGAGACCAATGTCTTTAAGAGGATAAACCACCAGATGCTTCCTGGTTGCCACGTCAAAAAGCACTGGAGACCGTAAAGGAAACCGAAACTTGGCAAGAGACTGCTCTCAGCAGCCTCTCCGCTCTCTGAGAGCCAGGTGGGTCCTTATAGCACACAGACTAAATTCACCAGCACTGAGAGTATTATTTCTGCCCCGCTCCTGTTCTGCAAAATCTCCTGATGCTCAGCTGAGAGGCAACTCGAGAAGAAAAAAATCACAGAATCACAGAATGGTTGGGGGCGCCGGGGTGGGCCCCCCAGCCCACCCCCCTGCCAAAGCAGGGTCACGCGGAGCAGGCTGCACAGGACCTTGTCCAGGCGGGTCTTGAATATCTCCAGAGAAGGAGAAGCAGCTACTGCTGATTTTAATGTGTTTTATTTCTGGATGCTCATGAAGGCATAGCTTAAAGGAGTCTGATTTACAAGAGACTTCATGCTTGCAAAGAACAGCTTCCCTGCTAATGTCTGAGTCCCATACCCTAAAATCTGCAGCATCTAGGACTACCAGATTTTTTGAAGTGAGATAGTCAAATATACTGCTGAAAATGGAAAAGAAAAGTATGTCTATGAGCATGGAGTCTAGGACTCTGGTGTCTTGTCCTGGCAGACGTTCTCTGTGAAGTGAGTCAGCTCCCACCAAGGTACAGAGCAATTCCCGAGCTTCCCAGGGATACACCGAAACGCTCCTAGGTCTCACCTTCCACAGTGACCAAGGAACTAAGGAATAATTCAGGATATTTTTAATTTGCTTTCCACCTGCCTCCTCGCCTACACGTGTGTGCAGCGTCTCTGGTCGTCAGACAGGTTTTGAGGCTGGGCCTTTAACCCTGCACCACGAGCTATAGAGAGAGTCCAGCGCAGGGCTACGAGGATGATGAGGGGACTGGAGCATCTCTCCTATGAGGAGAGGCTGAAGGAGTTGGGCTTGTTCAGCCTGGAGAAGAGAAGGCTGAGAAGAGACCTTTGAAATGCTTTTAAATATCTGCAGGGTGGGGGTCAGGAGGACGGGGCCAGACTCTTTCCAGTGGTGCCCAGCGACAGGACAAGGGGCAACAGGCACAAACTGAAGCAGAGGAAGCTCCAGCTGAACCCAAGGAAGAACTTCTTCCCTCTGAGGGTGACGGAGCCCTGGCCCAGGCTGCCCAGGGAGGCTGTGGAGTCTCCTTCTCTGGAGATATTCAAACCCCAGCTGGATGCGGTGCTGTGCAGCCTGCTCTGGGTGACCCTGCTTGGACAGGGGGGGTGGGCTGGGTGACCCACAGAGGTCTCTTCCAACCCTAACATTCTGGGATTCTGTGATTTGAAAACAGCTCTTCCACCTTTGGTTCGAGCCCTGAGCCATGTTGTGTGCAGATTAGCTCCATTCTCAAAAGCCCTCTAAGGCTTTGGCACTTTTGAGGCCCACGTTTACGAGTTGTGAATCACAACATTTCCCACTCCCAGGAAAGTCAGAGATCACTAATAATTGTTAAGTGCTCAGCAACACTTTTGCAGTCCTATATAGCGAGACAACTCCTTATCATTTAATAACTGTCCTAAAGAGCATCTAGAAGCAGGAGTCACATCATTAACAGTGCCTAATTGCAGAGGCTGTACTTTCCTCGGGGACAACCGCTGTTCTCTCCACAGCTCAAACGTGAAGGCATTTCTGGCGTGAGGAGAGACCAAACGCACGCATGAAGGCGAGCTCGCTCCCCCACACAGGGCAATATTTAGGGTATCTCTTTTTCTTCCCACTTGACTCTGCGGAGGCAGAGATTAAGCCCAGTTTTGCCACACATCGCTCAAACCCGACCAGTTTCTTCCATTTGTGCTCACCTCACCTGGCATCACTCTCCCATCAGCACAACTTCGACGATGGACTGCACAACACCCTTCCGTTCCGCACTGTATTAGCATTTTTTTCTCCCCCAGATCCCCCAGCCCTCGAGGCATTCGCAATCAGCATACCTCCTCGACGTCTCCTTGTCCGGTGGGTGGGATGGAGGCCCCTGTTCACATCTCCTCTACTTTGTCTTTGACTCAACGGCTGCGTCAGGGAGGATGAACCTTCCGCGCTCCGCGCGAGATCTTCGCAGTCCTCGGCCGTCAGGTGCGTTTTTTTGAACCGCTTCGCTGCTTTGCCAACATGCAAAAATAAAAGAGAAAGAAAGAAACCCCAAAACCAAACTGTTAGTAAATAATAATTGACAATCTATGCCTTTAACAGAGGCTTAACTACACAGTTCCTTTTCAGAAATATTATAGGACAGTCCCAGCGTTTCAGCCAGGAGTTTCTCGGAGTAAATCATAGCAGAAGCTTGTACAACGCTCCCGTGAGGTGCTAAGGAGGGCAACGCATCATGTCAGGACACCTGCAACAGCGACTTCACCCCAGGTCCCCACTCCTGCCCTGTGCTGTGCTTTCGAACAAAAGACAACGGTGTAAAATCAGAATCACAGAATGGTCGGGGTTGGAAGGGACCTCTGTGGGTCAACC